AACAAGTACTTTCTTATGTTTGTTTTAAACCTGCTGCCTGTTAATTTCAACAGGTGACCCCTTGCTCTTGTGTTATGTGAGGGGGTAAATAACACTTCCCTATTCACTGTCTCCACACCATTCATGATTTTATCATATTGCCCCTTAGTTGTCTCTTTTCTAAGCTGAAAAGTCCCAGTTTAATCACTTCTTTATCACTCCTTGTATGGAAGCTGTTCCATACCCCTAATCATTTTTGTTGCCCTTTTCAATTCTAATACCTCTCTTTTGAGATGGGGCGACCACAACTGCATCGAATATTCGAGATGTGGGTGTGTCCTGGATTTATATAATGTCATCACATTTTCTGTCTTATTGTCTATCCCTTTTCTTATGGTTCCCAACATTCTGTTAGCTTTTTTGGCTGCCTCTGCACATGGAGCAGATGTTTTCAGAGAACTATCTACAGTGACTCCCAAGATCTCTTTCTTGAGTGGTAACAGCTAATTTAGACTCCATCATTGTATGTATGATTGGGATTATTTTTTCCAATGTGCATTACTTATTAGCATTGAATTTCATCTTCCTTTTTATTGCCCACTCACCCAATTTAGTGATATCCCTTTGTAATTCTTCACAGTCAGCTTAGAGTTGAACTATCTTGAGTAATTTTATGTTGGTTAAACAGGATTTGTTTAGACAAATTATTCATAGAGGCATACACAGAGTATGCCAGTGCACTTAGAAATATAGGTAGAAATTATTGGTATACCAATATATTGGCAGAGGGGGTAAGTGCAGTAGCTTTTCATCTCTGGTGACTTGCATTCCAAATTCCAAGTTGGGTCAAAACAAAGTACTTTGAATTTATCCTGCTCTTTGTATTACAACCCGTCACATGATCTTTGCATGACTGCAGTTGTCTGTTACAGAGAGGGCCAATATTGAGTAAGGAGATATTTTGCTGGTTAGGACTGAGGTATATTTGTAGAGCCAGGTCAGGAAGATCACAATCTTCCTCTTCTGTGCTAGGCCTTGCTTCAGTCATTGCTGTTTTTCTGTCGCTTTCATGAATACTAAATTCATCTACCTAGCGTTTTCCTTTAATGTTTTTCTTATTTGAATTTAATATTCTTAATTGTTATTTTTAAACAAGAAGGCTGCTACATTTGGCACTTATTGGGTCATAGTAGTCATGAAGTTGATGCTTCACTAAGCAATGGGAACTTCAGGACATGTATAAGATTCCTCTTTTATGTTTGCTTTGTGAGGAGGAGATGTTGCTTGAGGATGGCAAATTTAGGGAGGGTGAGGTTTTATGTTTCTGATTTTCTGTATAGCTTAACTGTTTGCTGCTATATATTATGAGCTTGCTTTTGGCTTGTTTTGGTTTTTTAATTGTGTTTTTAAACAATTTAAGGGTGCTTACAGCTTTGGAGGTACCTTTTTGTTTATAAATCCAAATATATACAAGCTATTTAAAAATAAAAGGAAATACAGCAAAACCTGTGTGTCTCAAACAAATTCAATTTACTCTGTGCACAGATTTTTAATATGAGATGAAGTTTCCTTTGTTTGGTAGTTCCCTTTAATCACCACAACGTGACACCTCATCTGAATTCTTGTAATCTATGGATATGCCTTGCAGGCAAATGAAGGAGAAGTGTTAGTTTATGGATTTGATAAAAATTTGATGAAGTGAATGGTAGCTCACTTCAGCATGGATCAAAAGTTCATGAATGACTTTATATGTCAGTAATGGGATGCTGAAAATGGTAAATTATAGCTAGAATTGAGATAATTTTGATGGTCCAGAGATGATTCCAGTCAAATCTTTACATTGACTCCCTGAACCTGCAGTGTTCTTGATTATCTAGAATAATGTTTCTAAACCTGGGGGTGGTCGTGGGACAAGTTTAGGGGGGTCGCAAACCGGGCCAGCGTTAGGGGGTAGGCAGCAGGGCAATTGTCTGGGGCTCTGTGTCACCAGGGGCCCTGCAAAATTAATGTACATGTTTTAGCCCTGAGCATAAGGTAGGGGGGTGCAATTTTTTCTGGTGGGGGGTGGTCACATTTTTTTTGTAAGCCCAAAGTGGGTCGCCAGCACAAAAAGGTTAAGAAACCCTGATCTAGAATAATATACTAGTAAAATGGTAAAGTGGCGACATCAGTCCTAAAATCTCAGGCACTAAAAGAAATATAATGGCCAATAGAATCTGGATTTACTTTATTGGTGAGCCTACTCCATGAGCTGGATTTTTCAAAGCTGTAATTTTCCGCTCCGTGCTGATTTACAATATTTCTCTAATATGACAGAATTTCAGTTAGCAAATATTTTGCTTGCTACATTTCTTATTGGTGACTAATGTACTGACAACTAGTACTTGGCATTCTTGGGCGTTTTATATGGTAAACTGCAGCAGCACTTATCTGTAAATTTTTCAGCTTTGGCTTTGAAGAACAAAGTAAAAAACAAAACCAAAAACCTAGTTTCCTTGTGGTAGAACTAATTCCACCTTTTTATTAATGTATATTAATGAAGGGTTGTTAAAGACTGAAAACTGAGAGGAAAGCTTATGCTAAAGTTATTACTCACTGTGCTGAAATGTCTTTTCCTATTTGGCTTTGTGGCTAGGTAATGTCTTGAATTGGTGTGCTTTAATGGTTTCTAAAAATATTTGCTCTGCTAATGCTTGTGGAATGAACCTTAACATTGCATGCAGATGGAAGATTGTAGCTTTTATCATCTTTCTCTTCGCTGGGTGAAGCTCCCTTTCAACAGCTGGATCATTCAGATTTTACTCTTTGCAACAGCTGGGATTAAATTTTTGCTTCATAATCCAGTTTACCTTTGTTTTAATTTTCCATTGTTGCTGTTAAATTTGACTCCAAATTACTGTGATATCTCGAATATAAAACTTTTTTTCTCAGAGATTTTCAGATAATTTTATTTCCATCCACTAGTGAGCTAAAGGGAATTATTAAGGCTGGTTACTTAAAATACCTGAAAACTGAGAATGATGACTGTTTGGCTTTGCAGGAACAAATTGGGTTGTTTTTTCCCCCCATCTTTTTCTCTCTGTCCTCCTTTAAACTTAGGTCATATTGGCTTGCTTTTCGGTTAAACAACAGTTGGCTGGAGGTAGCAATGCTGAATTGAACATCAGCAGCTGTTCCAAGCTTCTCTCTGTTCCTTATTACTTTCCTGTTGTTAATATGATGATTGCTAATACATTCTGTCCTGATAACATTTAACAATTGACCTTTTGGTGACACTTTTTTTTAAAATTTCCTTTGTTTTCTGATCCCCTTCGGGAGAGTATAGCAAGGCTGAGGGCTTGTCTACACTGGCAATTTACAGCGCTGCAACTTTCTCACTCGGGGTGTGGAAAAAACACCCCCCCAAGCGCAGCAAATTTCAGCACTGTGAAGCGCCAGTGTAGACAGTGCACCAGCGCTGGGAGCTACGCCCCTCATGGAGGTGGCTTTTCTGCCGCGACCACACAAGCCACGTTAAAGTGCTGCCATGTAGACTAGCCCTCAGTTAGGGGCTCTTGCATTGAATGCTAAAGCTTCTTAAGCAAGCTAGTGTCATAAACCCAATATTGGACCTAGATTCTTCAGCTAGTACAAATGCCCAGATTCCCATGGAAACTGTAGATATGGGGAAGATTTTTGGCTTTGGAAAAGTGGAACAACAGTGTTTAAAACATTAATAGATGTCCTAACTATAGTTCCTTCTTGCACTGAAAAATAAGAATTATAGAAAGCCTTATTAAAGCCTCTACTGCAGTGGTCCCCAAACTTTTTCCTTCACATACCCCCTTACCAGTTTCTCTACATCCTTTCTATACAGCAGTGACCAAAATTGGACACAGTACGCCAGCTGAGGCCTGATCAGTGCCTCTATACTTGCATGCTATATCTCTGTTAATGCAGCCCAAAACTGCATTTGCGTTTTTTTTTTTTTTGTCAACAGCATTGCATTGTTGACTCATGTTGAGTTTTGTGATCCACCACAACTCCCAGATCCTTCTCAGCAGTGCTGCTGCCAAGCCAGTTATCCAATTTCTACCTGTGCATTTGACTTTTCTTCCCTCAGGGCTTGTCTATACTTACCGCGCTGGTTCGGTGGCAGGCAATCGAACTTCTGGGTTCGATTTATCGCGTCTAGTCTG